CTTTCCTACCTTAACCCTTCCCCTGGAATCCTTGTTTCTCTTTTCTGACTGCTCATTTATTTTTTGTCTTCCTCCCATGACTCCAAGCCTCACTACTTACTCGTTAGTGAATGCACTGGGAAACAAACACAGGACAGAAAATTTCAGTCCAAAAAATAAAGTTTGGCCAAGATTAAAAAGTAATTGAAAATAGGTTCTTATGAAGGAAGCACTACAGAACTTTAGCAATAGATGATGCTTCCCTCTTCACCTAAAATAGAGTGAAAGATATGCAAGAAGGTTAAAGAGAGAGATGGAAGAGCTGTTACTACTACTGATAGCTACATCTCTTTGAATTATAAACTAGAATGAACATTCTCCACGATGGTCAGGAGAGACAAAGAATTCTATGCCAAAGTGCACAGAAATGTACAAAAAGGGCTTACTTTAAAGTCTTAAATTAATGCAACAGTTATGTGTTTGTATGTTTTTTYAAGCATTTGCTTTTTTAGAAAGCAATAAAAGCTCAATTCTCCTAAAAAGACTTAGTCTAAATTATTGGTCTAAGATGTTGAAGCAAAGAAGAAAGTGAATGTTTCATTTACRTTTACAGTGAAAATTAGGGCAAGAGGTTTTACTGTATTATTTATTCACCCATATACAGAAGTCACACTCGTACCTGTTTTCTGAAGGTCTTTTCTTTAATCTTCATTATCAGCAAGGGGAAATTCCAGCTGTGGGAGAAAGTGAGAATTCAACATGAGTCTATGAATTTAACATCTTCTGTTATTGTGTATTAATGTAGAATCAGTGTTCAAAATATTATATAACTAATACACTTTAGAAGTGCTATCACTGATGGATATGCTGCTTGATTTAAACCACTTGAAATAATAGTCCCATTATTTCACACTTCCTGACATGAGTAACTCAGTCTCAGAATTCTGCTGTAATCTTCCCCTATGTGAAAAAAATTACATGTGTACAAAAATCCTTCAAAATTTGGACACTCCTATTTAAGGAGAAGTTACATTACAGTATATAACCATATCTTGAAAATTATAAATAATTCTATTTTACAAGCCGAGTAAATAAAGGCACAGAAAAGTTAAACGGTTGAGCCACACTAAATGTTTGATAAGTGAGGAATACATCGTCTCTTTGTGCAAAGCTCAGCTCAATAAAAAGAACTTTGTCCAAAAATGAAAACGAATGAAATCAACTTCACTCATAAAAAATGGCATTCAAAATTGTTTGCCTAGGTTCAGTGTTGGAAGCCGTATAGCCCATATTAGTAGTTGTAGTAGTATAATACTCTCTAGAAGGGAAGTGTGAAAGGATTAAATTTGTTTTATTTATATGAACAGGCTGCTACTATGAAATATTTATGAATAATAACATCTAAAAATGAGGCAACCACACATCAAACTGCTTATCAGGGCTCCATCTCCACCTTGAACTCACCAGCTCCAACACATACAATAAATCTTCCTATTTAATTTTGCTTGATTCTCCCCTTTCCTTTAAATTTTGACTGAAATTTCTTATCTCCTAAGGCTCAAAATTACTTTTTCCCGCTTTATTATTTAGCTTTGTAAAGCAAAGCACTGACTCTATGAAGGTAAAATCTATACAACATGCATTGACTGGRGCAATTCAATCAACAAATAATCCACTGCATGAAAGATAGCCAGGTAACTGGGCTAGAAGTTGGTAGCTGGAAGCTCTAGAGTGACATGAAGAAAATGCATTTTGTACTCCTGTTCACTTTCATAGGGAGGATCTCAAAACACAAACTTTGCAATTACACAATAAAAATAAATTTACACTGAGGTAAACTGAAGCATGCACTGAAAAAGCACTTTGATTACATCTGTACTAAATAAATGAACTTGGAAGAGTGCCTAAGATTTAAAATATCCTTTTCACAGATTTCATTCCTTGGCCAGTCCACATGGGAGAAAAATAACACAAGCGTCAGTTTGAGTTGTTACTCCTAATCAGAGCTATTTACACCATTTTGATATGACACTCTTGTCTAACTGTGTAATTTGCCATCATATTACCTTTGAAAACAATTTGTTTAGCTTTTTGCCTATTWATAATTAAATAATGCTCTTACACACACATTTTATAATTAGAATGGACGAACAAGTTGATTTGGTTTTCTTTCAACATAAGAGGCCATGTACATGATCCAYTGATCATGATTTCCACAGCCATTTCACATATCAAGTCCTGTATCTGAAAATCACCCCAATAAAAAGGATGTTTTTAATGACAATTCACCAGCCATTACCTAGTGAATTCAGTCCCTAAGGGAGCTAATCCAAATCTCATATAGTGTTTTATATAAATCATGCTCATTAATATGAGCTGAGAGTGCTAATTAATACCATCCAAGAATYATGGCAACTATTAATTGCATGATATAAATGATTGATGAAAAATGTATGAGGGATTTATTGCTAAGAACACTTAAACATTTTATCTTTCTTCAAAGGCAGATTTCATCAGGGTCAGAGAAAGAATCCMCTGTCACTCCAACTCAAATCCAAATCTGCCTTATTATGTTACTAAGTATGAGTGAAAGACTGTGGAAGATTAAGAATAGAACTGTGATATTTTCTTTTCCTAATTATTGYAGTAATAATTAGGAGTGTAAAAGCCTTATCTGAGTCCTGAATAAAATAAAAAAGAAAAAACTGTCCCAAGGTAAAATAACAATATGAAATTCAAAGATAGCTCAGTATRTCCTATATTCCTAAATACTTCCTGAGCACTTAATTCGAGAATACTGTGATTAATAGTCAAATTTAACCATTCCTGAAAGTGTATGATTCTATCCTGTGAACTCTTTTTTGTCATAATTGTTTAATTCTGGTACGTACAAARTCTCAATGGAAGCAAAGATAAGATGGGGGAAAAAAAAAAAAAGAGAGAGCAAGAGAAAAAAAGAACAAAGAGTCTTAAAAAATAAGGGTATGAATAGGTTTTAGAAGTAAATAGCTACTAGCAACTGAACAAGGCAAATTGTTGTGGAATATAATTATTGTTGAAGAAATACATTTCAAAATAAACCTGACAGATCAGAATTAGGCATTTCTCTGTCCTGGGAAGTTTTAAGTCTTGCATCCTTTGAGCACGTTACAGGTAACTGTAGTTATCTGTTACAAAGTCCTGAATCAGACTAAGATTACACTAGGTTCTGTCTGAAAAACCAGGACATTTATCACTGCACTTTTTTTTCCTCCTTATATAACTTAAATTCCTAAGAAGATAAAGTCAATATAGTTGTGCAGTATCTCCATCAACCCTTCTGGAATAACTTCTGAATGTGCTGCTCAATATCAACCATGTTAAAAAAGGCTAGAGATTTTCATGACAAGTTCCCAGCACTTTTGCCAAAAAAAAAAAAAAAATTAAAAAACAAATTTTTAATGCCAAACTTCCACACTTGAAGCCAGATGGTGTYACACATTGATTTGCTGACTGATACACCAATGTGGTACTGTATCTGTACAACAAATGAATGTCTTCTTTTTTAAAAGACAGCCACCCATCTTTCCCTAACTGGAGCCTTAATCACAGGAACACAGGCCCATTTCTTTGAAAGACTAAGCTACCATATTAAAATGAAATGCTCTCTGAATCAAGTCACCAGGAGACTGATCTCTAAGAAAGGCCAGAAGCATTGTTGAGACTCATGTTTAAATCATAACACATGGAGACACTCCTGACTGAAGTAAAAACGTGGTGTTCTGGTCTTTGGTAGATGATTTTCTTGTATAAAGCCAGAATAAGTTAATCCTCAATTCAAACATAAAAGCTGACCAAGCTAACAAAATGTGATTTGAACACATTTTTCAAGGCAATGAAAGGCAATAAAATCACCATTATTGTAAAATCTTATGGSAACCTGGCCTTACTCTTTCCCTATGTCCAATATTCACCAGTTCCTCCTGCTCTCCCCTTTTCTGGAGTCTTTACTCCAGCCACATCCATGTCATTCATCCTCTGCCATGCAACACCAGTTGCTCAGCAATTTTTTTCCCCGAGGTCCTTAAAAGTCAAATTCTCAAAACCCCCCAGCTCAGGGCACCCAAAGGCTGAGTAAGTTAAATCTTCCCTGAGGATTCACCTATGTAAATATTAGGAAGGCAAACCCATAACTCAACAGCTACACTCAGACTGAGAAGCTCTGGTTTCACCTGCTGCCAAGTCAGGACTGAACTTGCAAAATCAACCAGGTAAAGAACATTTATACCTTTTAACACACATTAAAAGGCACTGCAGACCTGACTCAACATCTCAGCTTGACATAGGGTGCTGGCGGCCACCACTCCTTGGCCATGCTCAGGGACAAAGGACAAGTCCCTGTTGAGCCATGGGCCACCTGTGGCTCCCGGTGCCTCAAGGGCTGTCTAAGAGACACCAAACTGTCCCTTGCCCAGACTCCACCTCAACATAAGCCCTCAAGTTCAAAGGCAACATACTACCTGAAGGATGAAGTTATTAAAAGTACAATTCAAGCTCTTCTAGCACAACTCTCCTTCCTCCCTGGCAACCCAAGCCCTTAAAGAGCTTTTTGTGTGATGAATCCAGACTCTTCTCTACCAGACAAGTCAGCAAGCCTTGGGCCCAGCAGTACCTACCCACTCTGATCCAGTGGATTTCGGAGAGTTTCCTGGAACCCTTATCACCTCTCCCTTCCCAGCAGGCCCAGCTGCTGGATARTGAAAGCTAACCTAGGGAAAGCTGCCTCAGGTGCTTAAAAAGGTTAACAAGCAGCAGCCGTGCCCTATAAAACCGGTCGGCCCGAAGCGGCCCCCTCCCCAAGGCAGCACGCGGCGCCGCCCTGTTCCCGCCCAGGGCGCGGTGATGGCGGCCGCCTCCCCTCAGGGGGCGAGCGGCGGCGGCGGCCCCGGCGGGAGGAGGGACGGGGAAGAGGAGGAGAAGGAGGCGGCGGTTCTGCCCGCGCCGCGCCTCGTCTCGCCTGCCGCCCGGCCGGGTGCGCCGAGGCGGCGGGCGGGACACCATGAGCGCCGAGTGCAGCAGCTACCTCAGCGCCGACAAGGTGCCGGTGAGCGGCTTCAGCTGCCCGCGGGCGGGCGGCGACGCGCGCGCCGTCTAYTGCTGCGGCTTCCAGGACGTCAAGTACTGCTGCGATGACCCGCACAGCTTCTTCCCCTACGARCACGGCTACATGTGGTGGCTCAGGTAGGGCGGGGAGGCGCCCGCTGTGGCACTGCGGCTGCCGCCCCGCATGGCGGCCGGGGGAGCCCCATGCGCCCCCCGAAACTGCCCGCGCCTCTTTCGAGGCGGCCGGGCGGGCTGGGGCTGGGGAAGGGCTCGGGGCAGCTGGGGGGGCTGCTCTCGGTGCCGGGAGGGGGTTCTGCGGATCAACTCCCGCCGCTCTGCGTGAGCCGTCCCCGCGTGCGGGGAGCCGCGCTGGGGCGAGCGCCCGGCGGCGCGACTGTCCCGCTGAGYCCCAGCGCTTCCTCCGTGCCCGTTTGGGATAGAGCTCCCGGAGGGGCTGCTGGTGGGCGGCAGGTACCGCCGCTCAGCTCGGTGTTCTCCGTGCAGAGAGGCTTAAAGGTGTCGAAGCACGGCCTTCGTGCTCGTCCTCGGCGCCTCTCTGCTCGCCTCAGCCCCGCGAGCCTGCGGCTTCAGAGAAACTCGCCTGTGTCTCTAGAACTTCGTGCCCAAGTTCCCATTTTTGGCTTCCAAATCACTGCCACACAGGCTGGGTTTCAGCTGTGTTATCCAAACTCATTATGTTCTTCCCCAATGAGGGTCATCTGCCTTAATCTTTTACCCATTAATTTATTTTCCTAGTAGTCTTCTAGTATCATCAGCATTTGGCCATGTTAAGAGCTCAGGATGATCAGAAAACCAGATGTGTCTGTTCATTTTTTGCTCCAGGTTGCCAATGAAGGTGCTGAATTAAAGCARCCCCAGCACTGTTGAGGGACTCTCCTCCAAATAGGAAAGGGACCAGGCTTTAATCTTGTGCTTTGCTCCTTACCTTTTAAGCTGCTTTGAATCTGTAACAGAACCTTTTCTTCAATCTTATCTCAATGGTTTTTTTAATAACATTAGTGAAAACCAATCTGCTGGATTTCTGTAGCTGTGTGCTTATTGATGCTCCATAGACTCTGAGCACTTAGCAAGGCAGTATTTTCTCCCTATAGCAATATCACATCCCCCGTGATTGCCAGGCAGGTCCTGCTGGGGTAGGTTCATGGGCAGTTTTGGAAGTGGAGTGAGCAAGCTGAGGTCTGGAGACTGTAAACAGGGTCAGACACAGCCCGCTGATCCCYCTCCCCAGGCAAGTCTGCAGTGAGTCCATATCCCAGGTGAGGTCAGGAGGTGCTCCCCAGTATTGGGGGTCAACAGCTGGCTTTTCTGTCTGGTCTAAAATGTATTAAATTATTGCTTAAAAATAAGTTTGCGTGACACCCAGAGTGGACTGAATGTGGAGATCTTCTTAGCATCTTCAGCTATGAAAAATGCACACAGAGTTCGTTCTCTGTTGTGTGTTTAGCAACCTCAAGCATCCTTTCTGCACTTTTCTCATCAAATAGCTGTGCTGATTGAATTCTGTATTGTAGGGCGGTGATTTTTTTTTGTTGTTGCTGATGTTTGTTTTTTACGGTCTGCCTGTTTTCATCACAGAAAACTCTCAGAATGGAATAACTGGAAAGATTGAGATTAGAAAATTTGGTGTCTCATTCGGATGAGATGTTGCAGTGAAGACTCTAAAGCTGAACCTTTTCAGAAAGTATCTCCAAGATCTTTGAGAATCCTTTGAGAAATTTTAATGAAGCACCTGTCTGAAGGAACTTCTGCAAAGATTTCCTAGGATCTGAGAAGTATGACTGCTAAGCCTCTTTCAGGGTCAGAAATTTCAGCTAAAACTTTGAAGCTTCAGGCTTTGTTCTCTTTTCTGTGTGGTGGCCTGGAGCTGCTAAAAAGATTTAGGGAAACTATAGTTGCTGTGAGTTTCTTGGTTATTCTAAAATGTGCCATACAATCTATATCACAAGGAAAAAAATTAGCAAAATCAATGAGTATTTACAACTAAAATCTGTTTTCAGAAGTATTTTCCAGGAATAAATTAAATGGCGATTTTTAGTTAATACACTGGAAATGTTAAGGTATTGCAACAATTCAAAAACTTTGTTGCATGTGATAGTTCCAACAAAAGTTTGAAGAAAATATTTTCTCATTGGACTCATCTCTCAATCATTGTCCTTGTTTCAGACCAAACTCATGTTAAAATAAGCTTTCAAGAGTGTATTATTTGCTTCTGAGGGAGCATTTTTTAAGTTTTAACTTTTCAGAAATTTGTCAAGCCCATCCAGGATAAATCCAGAGGCCAAATCTACTGAGGAATGGAAGGGAGATAGGGGAGTTGTGGACTACCCTTCGGAGCTTGGAACTTGCCTTTCTCCATCTGCTTGGCCTCCCCCCTGAATTTGAAAACAAGCACACATGGACAAACAAGAAATAAATTTATAAATAATTGTTTTCTATGCAAATACTGACAGTCAGATGCAGATATGCACAAAAGAGATGTATAGTTATAAATAAACAGAATGTATTTTTTGTCCAGATAATGCAGAGGAACATTGCAAGTAGAAAAATAAATTCACTGGAACTAATTCTTGAGTGTTTATATAGAACAACACAGAACTTAGAGATTCAGTAATTGGTACTTTAGACTATGTAGCTTCCTCCTTTTTGGTGACACAAATTACAGTTTTAGACAGCTGCTGCATTGTTCTGCCTTGTATTTCTTGCTGTGAGATGCATTGTAGGGCTATTCAGCTAGTTCTGGTAGAAATAATTCACAACAAAACCATCAGCCTAGGCTACCTGTAGCATTTGTTTCTTGTAGGTCTATGATATACTTTTTTTTGCCAAATAACTACTGCCTATAATATGTATTTAAAAATACATACTATATTCATCCCTTTACAAAAACATTTTTTTGCCTTCCACTCCTACAAAAACTGCAGCCTTCTGGAAGGGCCTCTTGATGTTTGCCACACTGGGAGCTACTGGACAGTCAAAAGTGTTTGACCTTCGAGCAGTGCTGACACATTTGATGCTTTTCATTAAAGAAAAACAAAATATTGGGAGTTTTGCATTCAGCCTTTGGAATTTAAAATCAAACACTGTTGTCTTTTTTGAGTGCTTCAGGCTCCTTTTATGCCTTTCTTAGGAAAGGGGAGTTGGGGATATGTTTTTCCATCTCTCACGGGAGCTCATGAACAGGGAGGTAAAGGGAAATAGTAAAAAGGCTGGTGTGTGTGAAGTTCACCAAAAGGTAGGACAGCTTCAGAGGTGGCCACAAAACGGTAGTAATCAAAATATTGAACAGCTTACCCTTCGAAGATGTTTGTTGTGCATGTACATACCATGTATCAATATACTGTAATATAGTAGACAGCAAATCTTAACATCTCCTTTACCTCAACAACTCAGTGGAAGGGGAGAGATGGCCTGAGCTTGTACATGTGCTTGTACTGAGGTGTAATATTAGGTTCAGTCAACACCTTTGTTATAATTTTAAAATATTTTAGAATTACTTGGTTTATCATTGTCCATTTAAGCTTTATTTTGTCAGTTTTATAATTTATTTACTTTCTGTATCAAATAGAACTATAATACCCATTCCATAACAATACCCTTAGTTTCACGTAATGTTATAAATTTGATTAAAATTTGCATACAAGCCAAGTAATAATTTTTATTCATKAAATAGTGTAAAGTAATGTCAGTATAGCCATGGTGACCCAAATATCATATTAGGAATATTTGGATCTATGTATTTGGGTCACTCCAAATCTAGATGAGTTATAAACTTCCTCTGAACTTGTGAGTAGGAAAATTGCATCTGCYCAGCTAATGTTTAATTTTCCTTGCCATCGTTAGAATGGATGGGCTAATTTTCTGGATGTTGTGCATTAGAAGCTGTTTTATGATAGTTAAAAAGTTGAAGGACACAACTTGTGTTAGAATTTGATATTTTCCCCCTCTGTTTTGTATTCAGAATTACTTTTAATTACTCACAATGGGATTTTCAGGTCTTTAATATTAGCTGTTTTAAGTAAAATTTTTTTCCTAATTTCTGGTTGCAAGCTTTCTGTATTTGTGATTTCATGTATCTGTCAAAGTCTTTTCCATACTTTGGAATGCTAGAAGTTTTCTGGAAAAGATTGTTTTAAAACTATAGGTGATGAGGCATTAGGAAATTGTACAGCCACATATTTACATGAGTATTGTGGATTCATCACTATTCTCTATTCATCATCTCTATTCATCAAAAAAAAATAAGTAGGAAATCTGGCAAACTTTATTGTCAAGTAACCTATATGTGTTAAGTCTCTTAACTATGGTAAGAAATACTGCAATATTCTCTAGGAATTGTTTTTTTTACTTCTAATGTACAAAGCACCTTACATGAGTTATATGATATTGCCAGTTTATTGTGTTGCCCCACACAACTGTATTGTTTAATGCTATTTTCTACATTTTAATGGTAGTGCTGCAACTGTGGAAAATAGGTAACTGAAAAGAAACTGTTATAGTAATTAATATGTACCTGGTTTATTCAGCTGCAGAACAGCTGGCTCTGCTTAACATTTGGGTAGAATCTAGGTGTGAACAACCTCTTTTGTCCTGCACTGCTGACTGTTATCTAAAAAATAATTAAATAGGGCTACTACTGACAGGAAAAAGGCAAAAAATACTTGTTTCTGAAGAGCCCCTGATTGTATTACTTCCTGGAATAGGCTCAGCTGAGGGGATGGTTTTGTTTGGTGGGTGCTCTCCTCACTCCCCCCCAGTGTGTTTCTTCCACTTTCTCCATTTGATTTATGGATGTTTTGAGCAGAAATGAGAGCAGAACCCAGGTGATGTCTGTGGTTGTAAGGACATATTGAAATCCAGTATTAAGTAGAATGGCTCAAACAGTAGGCAAGCAGTAATTTTTTTGCCTACATGCACATACCAGATATATATTTATATACTTAGTATGTGCATGTACACAGAAATGAGATTCTGTAGTTCACATGACAAAAACCATCAAAAATCATAAAGACAAAATTTCTTTCCAAACCTGTAATTTTGTTGATGACATATATGGAGCTAAAGGTTACACAGATTTTGTTAGTGGACCTCACAGGTAACTCATGAGAACTGCATCTAAAGGTCATATTCATTTCTGCTATTTTCTCCCTCATCCTGCTAATCTCAAGAGTTTTCTGTGAGCGTGTCTGCCTGCTTGTGTTTCAGGATCTTGTAAAGAGGCTTTGTAGTAGCTTGGAACTTGTGTGTAAAATTCATGAAAACCTGTATCCTGGGGCACAACTCTTTCCTCTTGCCCTGAAGGGCCATGGTGGAAGTGACTTGTCACTGATAGCAGGGCTGTGTAAGGGCATTTACATCAGCAGAGGCCTGAGTTTGTAGAATTTTATAAGTTCTTAGTCTCACCATCCCACCAAGACATTTACCTCTCCTGTCCTTTTTTCCTTTGTCAAAATTGCAAATATTTCCCAGCAGTAATAGAAGGACCCTCAAACCTCAGACATTCTTCATCTGTGATCAAAAAGCCATGATTTAATTTCCCCAAAAGGCAGTGCTTTTGGCTTTTTGTTGAATAGGGGCCAAACAGCTGCCTGCATCAAATGGTCCAAGAGAGGAGAGCTGGACTGTTTTGCTGAGTCCTTTGTTTCATCAGGAGAATTTTGTGATAGGAAAAGACTTGGAAAGAAAGATGGGGAATAAGGGAGCTACTGAAGATTCCTGTATGTACTCTGTAATGTCTTACTGTCAGACAGTGGAAGCAATRCAAAGAGGCTTCCATCTTGCAAAGGTAATGTCCTGATAAAATCTACATGCACTGCTATACATTCTGAATCCTGGTTATGCATTCCTCTGCCTTTGAAGCTGTGTGTGAATTAATTCATCTTTAGTTTTRGTTGTACCTTGACAAGGCTCACGAAGAGCTTTCCTAGTCTGGATGCAAGGTTTATTTCATTGATGCAGAGGCATAAACAGTGTTTGCAATATTCCRTGCAGCTTTGCAAGAACTGCTAACAGATTTGAAGAATATGGTTATCACTTATTCCTCTTTTTACATGTATTTCAGCCTTGGAGGGGAATATTTGACAAGCAGATCTCTAATAGACATGTCTGACAGCTGACAAGTGCTCTAATAGGCTGTTTTYGTGCAGTTAAAGGGCATTTCAGATCAAAATGGTGGTTTCAGTGGCTACTGTCTGGACCTTTGGAATTCTGCTCTGTGTCCTCATGTGATATTTAAAACTATAAATTTTTTAAATTGCTCAAAATCCATTAAGGAGTCACAAAAAATTAGAAAAATTTAGAAAGAAAAAATAGGAGTTGGCATTTTCTCACATTGTACCTTCTTTAATTTTTCTGTGGTCTCTTGGTGAATATGCACAACTTGCTGATCTYGCTGATGCCAGTTACTTAGGAAGTTATTTCTGATTTTCATCCATATGGCTTAAATGAGATTCAGGAGTAATATGCAGAGGTAACATGAAAAGTCACTATGAATGTTGCCCTTGTGAGGGTGATGAAATAATAACAATTTATGAAATTAAGGTGTTGAGCTCTAAACTTAAGTGTATGGTAAGAACAGGCGATCATTTCCCTGCCTGAATACAAGTAACTTGCAGACATCATGCTGACCACTGTTTAAATGGGTGTATTTGGACTATTTGCACACTTAATTTCTTTGTTTTCTCTCTTCTCAGTGTTGGAGCTCTTGTGGGCCTGTCGATAGCAGCAGTGGTCCTGTTTGCTTTTATCATCACTGTGTGTGTTCTCTGTTACTTGTTTATCAGTACAAAGCCACGCAGTAAACTGGATGCTGGTTTGAGCTTACAGATGGCAGGTAAGACCAGTTGTTATTGACATATGTTATCCCCTGCAGAGGAAAAGCCTTATTCTGTCTATAAGTCCATGCAAAGAAATACAGCAGACTTTTTTTCTGATGGGAGGCATCAAGGTGTAGTCAAACTGTTATGTTGTCTCACCTTATGACTGAGACAGGTACCAAACTCAGATGAAATAAGAGTTACAGCTTAGTACTTTCTGTTTAGTTGTAGGAAGTGTAAAATTTTGCAATACAAGTGAGGATGCAACAGAAACAAATCCCATTATCAAGAAGAAACTTATGGAATTACTTGCTCCAGATTTCTTGTTCAAGTAAGTAAGTGTATAGCAAGAATTTCACTCTAGGAATAAGAATCTTGAGGTTTCAAATGCATTTCCGTGAGATCAAAGGCTCTTTACTTCAGTCCCAGTGATCTATACTGTTGTACCCGGACTGTATTTCAGCCTCCAGTGCTAGCAGCGTGAGAGCTCAGTGGGCACCTGCAGGAGCAAGGCACATGCCCACTGGTAGCCCCCTGGCAAGGGRAAGAACCTGTGACTATTTCCTGATGCCATGGGCAGTATTTGCAGCTTCGACTTACAACTAAAAATCTCAGGTCTCACCACTTGTTCTCAGGAATGCCTTTTTGATAAATATAAAAGCCCCAATACAGGTGACTAAGATTATTGAGAAAACTAAAACATATATGCACATTAGCCAGTATATAACCCTGCAAAGATCACCCTGCTGAATAGTGGTCAAAAATTAACATACTGAACATAACTGCCTGTCAGAGAGCCRAAGAAACATGGATGTTAGTTGTCATTGACTCTGATACCATTTTTACATTTGATTTGATACTATTTTTACAGTGCTTTCATTCTTGCATATGACTGTAGTCGTAGCCTATTACGTAACAGTAAGACCACTCATGGATGTCTAAAACTCAGTCTGCTTCATACTGAGTTCAGTATGAACTCCTTGRTCTGTTTTTATTCTCCAGAAAATGCAGGTTATGGGGTAGTTAGGAAATGCAGAGCCTTCCTTGGAACTACGTAAGCCGAGCATATTGCCAAAGTGAGAGTCACACATTCAGCAAACTGCTACTAATCTGCAAATTGAAAAATTGACACTTGTCCTGGAGATGGAGACAGCGGAAATAAGACCTGCTACCCAGAATGACATGAAATCCCCAGGGCTGGCAGAGTGCTTGTGAACTTTTACAAGGGAGTTGCATTCAATCAGAARTTGCTGTTATGCTTTTGAAAAGGTTGCTGTTGACTTTGTCCCTCGGATGGTTCTGCAGTGGCATCAGCATTTATGCCATTGCCAGTGCAGCAGTGCTGTTTTTCTCATGTGYAGTATGAGATGCCAGCAATATTTGGCATATGGAGACTGGAAAGGAGGCAGATGCTGTTGTACCACTGCCACCCAGCACCTGCTGTGGTTCCCTGTAGCCTGGAGCATCCTGCTGTGGCATTGCAGATCCCAGATCCTTCCCCTCTTCCTGTCCTGAGGTGAACTGCCTTCCAAGCTCCCCCATGCAGGAACTACCATCATCTTCTCTCTTAYAGCTCCAGATGTTAGGATTTCTGGGAACTGAGAGATCTCTGCTTTGTCTTTAACTGTCTTCCATGTTTTTGTTTCAGTTTTGTGGATTTATTAAAGCTGCATTGATTTGCAGTTRAACACTGCTCTCACTTTTCACTTGTTCCATGTTTTTTCATTTTTATTATTCTGCTTTGGCTACTCTGAATGACATTCTTTCCTATTTAAATTCTGGTAGCTTTAGTAGTTGATGAGGTGGGCTGCCAGAAATTGAAAGCCCATTCCTGTGTCAAGGTTGAGGGGAGTTTGAAAAGGTTGAAGGATTTCATTGACAAGCCTGAATGCTTATCTTCATCACCTTTGGGTTTCTTTAGCCTGGAAGCTACATGAGAGTTGAATCTCTTATGAGATGGCTGGTTAGCTGCTCTCGGCCAGAGAAACAACAAAAGCAGCATCTCTCCTGTTTTAGTTCTGAGATCTCCAAGTAATCACGTATAGATAATAAAATGTACTTTAAAAATTCATTTTTAGAAACTTCAGAAAATTTTAGGTCTCAGGACTGAATTTTAACTGTGAACTTAGCTCAGTGCTGCTTTTTCTGAACTAGTTTAGTCTTGCCTTTTTAAGATAGCTGTGTCACACAGTGGTGTTTAGCGTCAGTACCCCAGTATTATTCAGAGGGCATTCATTTAGGAAAGCAATATGCTTATTATATTCCATTTCACCAAAATATATTGGCTCGGTTGGAGGCTTGTATTTCATTAAGCATAACATTGATTATTGTCTGCCTTTCCTCCCTCTTGTAATGGCAGTGAAGTTCGTTGCTGTTCTGTGCGCTCCTTCAAGATCTCCTAAAAATAGGATTGTAGAATTGATTAATTTTTACTCTAATAATTCAAAGATCAGTTGCAGATGTAACAAACTGGATTTACAACTTAAAAGTTTCAGATTTGGCAATTCTGCAAGCAGCAGATCAGCTGGAATTTACTTCTGTTTAGTCTTGAGGAGTGGTCTTTAATAGCCTGGATACAGATACTGCATATGAAGTCACCTGAGTTATCTGAGAATGTTAACCTTGGAGAAAAAGAGCATTTTATTCTGAGAACYGAATYTCAGAAAAATTAGCTCATTCTGTACTCCCCTACATTGGTATAGACCAGGARTAACTACTTGAATGTTAGTGCAATCACGTTGATACAAATTGAAGAGTAACAATTTGTATTATCAGGGTGTGTACATATAGCAAGTGCTCGAGGAGTTTACAGTTTCTTGAGATGTGTTCAATCTAGTATTTCTTGATAGAAAGGAACACCATACTCTACTTGCATGTTTCTATGAAGTCTCCTCTTTTTATAGTCAAAAACTGAGATCTTTATATATAGCTTCTTGCTTGCAATCTGTCTGCATGTGATGTTCATGTGGCATCTGGCCTGTGGGTTAGCAGCCTGCTGTATGCTAGCACTAAGTGCTTACAGTTTTTCCTCAAATTACCTCAAATAGGAAGACRTTATTACCCCCATTTTATTAGGAGACAGAACTAGAGGGAAGCAGAGAGTTGTCTTTTTAATCATTCATGTGTCAGCTTAGACATTAATGTTCATCAATCTTGAAAAGAGTGAACACTTATCCTACTGCATATGATACCTCTAAAAATACAGCTCCAACAGACTAGCTTAAGACATACAGGAATTCTGTGCTACAGAGAATTGAATCATGTTTTTAGAGACTGGGCTTGAATACTCARTGTGTGTTTCTTAAAATACTGAGTTTGCTTTTTAATTATATACAAATACAGTAAATTCTGAGAGAAAGGATTTTTTGTTGAACTCATAATTGGTGCTTCTGTTCTTCCCATCAGGCTAGGAATCAATTGCTGTAAAAGTCTTTATCCATGATGAGCAAAGGTCCAGAACAAATCCCTGGCCAGAGAATGCAAAGGTCATGAATATTCACAAGATCAAAGGGWATTTGGTCTTAGCTTTGTATTTTCACTGGCCCTGAACTTTTTGTGCATAAAGTTTTTCCCTTCAAAATGCAGGGAATGAGGGTGTCCCTTAAATCCCAAGTGTTTCTTAAGAGCTAAGTGAACAGGGATGGAACTGCTAAGGAAATGAGAGATTCTTGGGTAGTAAAAGCTGTGTAATTGGCAGGAATGGGGCCAGCAAGGTAGACAGGAATTTGTGGGGTGGTGTCTGCTCCTCAGTGCTGGGAGCAGATGTGTGTTGCCCTGCTGGGAGGGGACCAGCCCTCCATGCACCCCCTCTAGACTGGCTGTTGCCATCAGAGATGAAAAGGTAGCTGGGGCTTCTCCRTCCTTTTCATCCTTGTTTGCAATTTGTAAAACAAACTTGCTCTGGGATCCTCTTGTGTTCCTTCCAGTGTTAGTGTGAACCGACCTTTTGGGGCAGGATGTCTTATTTTGTTTTAAAGTGAGGATATGATATCCCTGTATTATGATGGGAGCCAACATTTTCCTTTAAAACTTAGTGTCAGGGAGGCCTCTGTAAGGTATTTGGAGTCAGACAGCAGGGACTTCTGGGATGGAGTGTGAAGAATATTGTAACCTTGTAAATTATTTGAATACTGGGGAAATTAATGTTTTAATTGAAGAGGCTGACTCCTTGTTCTTCTAAGAAGATATAGTGGTATCTCAGTATGTAGAAGATAGTGATACCTCAGTATGTAGAAGTTCATAATAAAGAAAAGCTCAGATTGCAAAACAGTCAGATGACCTTCCTGTCTATATTTCCTTTCTTAACTAAAGTTTCCTCATGGGGCATTCATCAAATGCACCAACCATTCAGATATGTTGATGGAAAAAGTCCCCAAATCTTACTTTTTATTGATTTGGTAGAATAACCTGGCTTATTTAGTTCTGAAACCAGATAGCAGCCATCTGAATTCTGAGGCACTGTGCTTTGTTTTGGAACACATGTGGATAACTAATCTCCTTGGTCATCAGTTGCCATTATACAGTCATTYTGCAGTTGGCCTCAGCTTTTCCATGGTTGGTGTGGTTTTTTCTGTATTTGCCTCAGATGTGGATATCTGTTTTTAAAAAACAAAGGCCAAATGGATGCAACTTATTTATATATGTAATATAAATATATGTATATAGCCACTTGCCTGTATTTAAAGAACCCAGAATGTATCTTTAGGAGATGCAGCAATTTTGCAGTTCATAGTTGGAAATTCACAATTAGTGCAAGGACAGCATTAACTCAAAGTTACATCGCTAGAACAGGTGAAATTTTGTGTTCAGCTTGGATTCCTTAGCAGTTGAATTTTCCAAACTTCTGGTAATGTTGGTTTTCTGCAATTTTCAAAACAGTCAAAATCTATTGGGAAGGTACCTGCAGGTGCCCTACGCTGGCTTAGAGTTAGTTTTTTAATCACAATGGAAGAAGCTCAAAGAGGAGTAGGTTTTAACTAAGGTTTTAGCTTGGTTCTAGTGCTTTTGTACAGTTTGTTTATTTGAAATGCCAAAATAGCAATTCCATTCTGATTTTTGAAAACAAAATGCATTTTTCACATCAGTGTTCAGAGCATTTCAGAAGTAAATGCCTAGGGCCAATTTCTTTTGGTTTGTTCTATGAAAATCTTAGAAACATTCACTTTTCATCCATATTTTATGTGAGGAACAATCCCACACACTTCCTGGGATGTAAAGAGCTTGCTTGGCTATGCTTATTTTTTTGTTCTCCCTGTTTTCCCATTGGTCCAAATAGAGGAAAACAAGGTCAAAAGTGTTGAACCTGAGGCTAATGGGAAAGACAGGGGAACTGAGCACAAGATGCTGGTTGTGAGGAGACTAATGAGACTTGGACTAGCAGATGCAGGAAGGAGAGGTTTGGAGGCAGCACATGAAGGAGAAGCTGCAGCTGATCCAAGGAGATGGATGTGCCTGGGAATATGTGGATGAGGTTAAATGTACTCAAAGCAGTAGAGTGGGAAAACAGAGACTATGGGGAATGGAGGAACTTCTCCAGGGTGAGGAAATGGAGCAGGGAATGTGGTTGGTCTGGGAAAGCAGAGGAGGAGCCTGTGAGGAGAGATGGAGACAGACATTGATGGAAGCATCCCAGGCTGAGAGTAAGCAGAGCTTTAAGGCAGAYGCGGGGGGAAAACAAATGGAAGTGATTTGTACTTCTGTCCCTTTTTTCTATAGGATGTGGAGAAAGATTCCTGTAGCTGGCTGTCTCTGGTGCAGTGGGAGGAATTTATGGATTTCTACTTGCAACTAAAAGGAGAAAAACTGTTTTGCTGAAATGTTTTTGTATTTCAGGTAGTGAGACTAGAGGGAATTCTATATGTTAAAGTAGATGCACTGGATGGATTCTACCAATGCTGTAGTTAGTTACTGTGAGAACACTTCATCTTGTTCTTTTGCATTCCTTTACCTTCTCCTCTCTTTCCTATGTGGTGGTAGAGGCATTTTTCAAAAAGCTGAGATTCTTTAGATTTTTAGCTTTCTGAAAAGTGGGTGATTGGCTTTTCGKTTTTTTTGCACACTCCTAAACCTAGGAACTCTGCCTGATTCACCTGCTCATGGATAYTCTTCCACAGTGATATGCTGAGGAAGATTACTTTCCCTTGATGCTATCCAGGATACACTAAGGAGGCAGCCACTGTAACTTACTCAAAAGACAGATTTAGTGATTAAACTGGTAGAAAGTTTTCTGTGCAAAAAGGGTGTCTAGTGCACCGTTCAGCACCATTTGGCTTCTTGGAGATGCTGCCTGCTACTACTGAGAGAAATAGAGGGATATGTCACAATGAATGAAGGTTTGCCTGCTGACTTGATTTTATGTGGAAATTGTATTTAAAGGTCAAGCTGCCCATGGCACGGATCATGCAAAAAGTATTTAAAATGTACTCCAATACAGATGAATTGTGCCTCAACCTTGAGAGGAATTTATGAATAATGCAGAAGACTTCAGATGACATGAAACATTCATTTTTCTTACTGTAGRGGGTGAAAGCTCATGGCTAAACACAAATGAGAATGTGAGAATAGCCATAGATCAGCAATGTCTGTCACAGAAAGGAAAGCGGGGCTGTTTACTCAGAAGTTGTTCTTAGATGGCAGAAAAGTGAATGTGTGAGTAGGTTGCTGTGTGTACTTCCCCTCCACCCTAAAAACTGCCCTTCTGCCTCTTAAATGCAATTTGCAGAGCTCCCCTTTGTTAGCTACACAGATTGCTTTTGTTCATTGTCATGAAAACATTTTGTATAGTAAAATGTCCCCAATACATGCATCCTTTTCTTTCCTGCTGTTGGAAATGAAATGGCATGTGGGAGATGAATGCCATTTAAAAAAAGGCTCCTACAGTGAAGGATCGTCATCAGAGGCAAGTGCTAGGCATTGGGTCCTTCGTTCAGGTCTGTAAATGGGACATTGCTTTCTATGAAGCCATGAGACTCTTATTTCCTTATATCTCAGCTTCCTGGTTGCCTGCCTTGCATTATGCTTTGAGGATGTGTAGCCTGCCAAATGCTGCTACTTATATGAAAAAAGAACCAAATAGAGAAGAAAATCCAAAGGCCTTCCTCAAAGGACATCTTTGTAAGGTTTGAATATAGATCCATGTCACAAGAAGATCAGGAAGCTCAGCAGCTCTCTCGTGGATGAATTGACTGATTCTCATTTGTTGGCAAATTGAGGCTGGCCAATATCAGAAAGACTTGCACTGCTTGCAAGAGTTCTTGGGTGAAGAAAAGGAGTGTGCTTGTGGTGTATGAGCCTTGTTGCTCCCAGATCTGGAGGGAGGCAGCAAGGAACTTCCTTGTCTTTTCAGTTTCCCAGGATCTTTTCTGAGCTTTGACAGATAATTCAATTTAAGCATTGCTGGAAATTCCAGGTGTCTTTTTACCTCTACTTTTCATGTTGTCTTGTTTGCTGGAGACTTCTTGTGCCCTCCTGTTGTAGGGATCTTCATAGCACAGGGAGAGGCTGGTACAGATTCCATCAGTGGCTGCCTTCAACTGCTGTGAGAGAGTCACCTGCAGCAGATGATTTAACTTGCATATTTCCCCTGCAAATTCAGTTTGTTAATTAGCAACAGGACCCKTACACCCTCACTACTGACTTAATTCACTATATACTTTGGGCTTGTTTGTGTGCTCTTTCTTAGCTGTGCTACCTGAAGATGTGACACCAACCCCCAGCAGCCTCTTTCCTGTCCCYGCCATCCAAGTTAGCATCTGAATTTGCAGGGTTCAGTGAGGGATGGGACTGCAGAAGGACCAGCTCAGCTCTTAGCTCTAGAAAGGGAAAGAGTCAGACATTGCTTCAGATGTGCAATGATGATAGCTGAGTTATTAAACTATCAAACTTTACCTGACACAGCTTTCCTAAAACCAGTTATGATAAAACATCCTAATTTCTTTTTCTAATTTGTTTTTATGATAAGGTAATTGACTTGTCAGGACCAAGTGACTATGATTATCAAAATATATTGCTTGAAAATTTGGTGAAAGATTTCTGGTGACTCAAATGTTTTTGGAGGGAAAGGTGTTTCAGTGATCTATCCCACTTGAATATTAACTGCTCAGCTGAAGGAATGAAGAGTTGCACCAAATTTATGGATGACATTGCAAGACTTTGGGAGGGATAAAACTCCCTTTCAGAATTATTTTAGTGCCCTGGAGAAATAGTCTGAAATCAGAAAGGTGAAATTCAATACAGATAAAAGGAAAGTACTGCACTTGAAAGGGAAAAATCAAATCCTCAAATATACCTGAGGGAGAATAGCTGAATAAGTAATGTGTTTTTACAGGAAAAAAGCATTGGGAGATTGTAGAGTATTGATATGCTGGGACTTGCTTCCATTCTGGTATTCTGCAGGGGAGGGCTGTCTATAAGATGGGAGTTAGTCATTTGCCCCAGTTATGCTGGCAAGGCCTCTGCTGCTGTCAAGTTATTCAGGTGCTGACAAACTGGAAAAGAAACAAAAAATGAGAATTATGAGGGTTTTGGAAAGGCAGAACAAGATTAAACTGTCTTAAGCCTAGCACAGAAAAGATGAGTGACCGTTAAGTTACCTAGAGGATGACGGTGGTTCTTTGTGTCTGTGGCAGACAGGATAGGAAGTAATGAGCTGAGTTTCACATTGAAATAGATCTAGATTCAGTAGCAGACACTTTTTCAACAATAAGTGCAGCAGAAATACTCACATGGGTACCAAGGCAGTTGCCTGTTTTTTCAGTAGGGATCTTGATGAAGAGGTTGGACTTGCGCCTCCAACCCTCAGTCTGGAGAAAAGCACGGCCATAGTGTGAACATCCAAGCTTCCTTTTGTTCTGGTATTTGATTGGGAATTCAGGATGTGGGGTGGCAATGCTAAGGGGGCACAGACCTAAATTCCTATATATGTCGTGTGCATTTTGTTTCAAGTTAGGCAAGAACGTATGACTATCCTCAGTGCCTTAAAAGGAAACCTGTGAACTGCAGAAAGCCATGCTGATGGCTCAGGTAAACAGCGTTCTTCCTGATGAACCAGTATTGAGCCAGCACCCTTGTCTTGCTGGGATGCTCTTTGCTGCAAGAGTTACCCACACTTAAAAACTGCTGCTAGAAGCTGAATTAGCTGAAATGTTCTGGCACAATCTCAGTATGTGTCCATTATTCTGCCCGTCCAAGGCTGGGCAGACATCTGCTTCTGAACCTAGCTGTGCCAGCCTCAGACAAAACTACCGGCTGAGGGTAGACCAGTTGTTAAAACCTGTTTCTTTTGCTGTCTAAAATAGGTTTAGGATTACCCTGTCACTATGGGTAGCTTGCTCCTTATGTACTAGTAGAGAAATGATATGTACTTGGGGATAATATGTACTCTGCTATTTGTGGGTTAAATTATGTCTGCAGACCAAGTTTCCCTGAAAAAAAAGTGTTTTCTTCTCTTCCTCACAGTGTAGCTGTGGCAGCTGGTGGGCATCTTCCTAGAAGCAATCCCATTTCAATGAGCAATTACACAATTTATTTATATAGAAACTTTTCCAACGTAGTCTGCAAAATATTTTGTTATCCTCCAGCATTAAAAGYACACATTTATGCCTATATCTACCAAAAAAAGTGTACAGTTTAGTGTAGATATGAGCAGTGTGGGTCTCAAGAGTCTCTGCATAGAAATGCTAAATGAATGATGCTGTCCTTGCCAGCTAAGCCTGTTTTGTTTTACTCAAGCACCGTTGTCCTCTCCAGCCTTTATCACATATGGGGTGAGATCTCTGCTTGTAYGGAGGTCTGTAAACACCTGCAGGAGATCTGCCAGACACACACATCTTCAAAAGAAGCTTTAAGTACTTCACAGCTCTAGTGCTGCCCTTTTGGCATTGTGAGTCTTCATGTTGTAAAGGTTAGGAATATGTTGAGAGGCTTGGAAAAAATAAACCCCATGAGATGTTTTGAGAGCTGTGTGGTTTGTGCTGGATTTGCTGGTAGTTACCAACTACTGTGCATCAGTCAATTTCCCCCCCCTTGGTTCTAATTTTTAACTGTTTGCTATTTTCCAGATACAGAATTGCATCTTTCAGAAGGCCCTGCCAAACCAACCTTCTAACAGGGCCAAATGGCTTCCAGAGACAGTTCCTTAGCCACAAGGATAGACTGTGACCATCTKCCTGACAACCTGTCTCACTGTCTCACCCTCCCACGAGTTTCTGGGCTACTGCCATCACKGATACCCAGAGGCAACCTGAAGGATATGTATTTGTGTATTGTTACTGTACTAGGAAGTAGTATCTTTTGATTTGCACATAGCAGCTATGGCAGCTAGACATTTTCATGCAATCTGTCCTACCACTGCAATTTCCAGGAGACAGAACAGTTGTCAGGCAGAGCAGAATTTGGTACACCGCTCTAGCTGGGCTTTGTTTTAAGCTTTCCTTGTGTACTGCTTTAACGTGGTGTCTTTGCATCATAAATATGTTCTTATCTAGCCAAATGTGATAGTTTGGTGTACAAACATATGTGAATGTAGTACCTCAATAAAATTTGGCGTTTGCTTGTGTTTTATTTGCTTCATTTTCCTCCACCTTTTTTCTTAGTTTCCCTTTGTATCATCTTAAAAACATTTTGATGGAAGACTTTTCTAAGAAAAGAGGTGAGGTGTTAGTCAAAACTAGGTGGGTGTTTTGTAGTAAAATTTTGATTAGTTTCCTATGAAAAGTTAACAAAACCACTGAAATGAATTGAAATAGACAAACATCCCTAGCTATTTTTGGGTTCTATATCAAAACATGTTTAAAATTTTTAAAGCAAACAAATGTTAATGTGCCAATTTAAAGAMTAGAGCTTGAAAGTGTTGAACTTCCTACAAGTACTCAAAGAGCTCTAAGGGCCTRTTTTATTTCCCAGTAATTTAGGGGAGCAACCAACATAATCCTGAACTGTCATACGGGAGCTTTCAAGTGTTTCAAGCTTTAAGGTTTCAGCCTGTAAGTTATGAACATTAATGAATGTAATTCCTTTTATCTTGTAAGAGATCTTTAAAATCTGTGATCAAAAGAGCTTCTTAAATATTTAACAATGCTGTTTATGTTAAAGGATTAGGGAAATTTATATCTCCCACTTACAGATGAAGCCTGAACATCATTTGCTAGACCAATTTTGTTGACAGGTATACTTCAGATTTTAAGATCAGGTCTTTTCATCCTCTTTAGGAGGGCTGTTGTGTGTGAGAGCATTTGAAATTTAAAATCCAGTGTAGCAATTAAACTCATGTTTTCAATCTGAGCTACTCTTGCTTTGCAATTGGAAAAAATATACCAACCCATTCAAAAGAAATTGAGAGCATGATATATGTTCTTTAACTTCCTGCATACACTGTGTYTTACTGCACTTGAAATTGTTCCTGTTGAATTTTAGAAGAATAAAACTTTGCATATAACAGGTTGTATGCTTGGCCTTCCAGCATCATAACTTCTCTTGCTGAGGCTGTCAGGGATCATAAGAATTACAGAATGGTTAAGGTTGGAAGGGACCTCTAGAGATCATCTAGTGCAGCCCCCCTGCTCCACCAGGGACACCCAGAATATGGGACACCTGGGTGCATGCAGGTGGGTTTGGAAGATCACCAGAGAAGGAGACTCCACAGCCTCCCCGGGCAGCCCATGCCAGGGCTCTGGCACCCTCACAGGAAAGAAGTTCTTCCTCACATACAGATGGAACAGCTATRTATTTTTCAGTTATATACTTTTATATATAAAAGCTTATGATTTCTACCAACTGGTTTTAATTAGATTCCTTTGAGTAATGAGCCCTTAGAATCACAATCTAGAAGCATGTACTTCATTATAACCCACCATTTAAAGAGTTTTAGGACAGGCTTCTTGAGGGTTTTGGTTGATTCAACTTTACATAAACTTGAACTAGCACTGCTGTAATTTTTCAAAGCCACAAAACAGAACCCATGCTGGTTTGAGGAGAGGATTCAGCAGGTTGCCCATAACAGCTTTCAAGCATAATGTGCAGTAATAACAAGGCTGGTTCTCTGTGCTTAGCAGGCATAATAAGCCTTGATGTTCTTGTTGGGTATAGTCCTAATTTTGGCCTTGGGAGTATTTTAAGCTTAAGTTGTTTAAGTAATTATAGTGAAGCAAACTCAAGGCTGTTCTCTTACYATTTGCTGTAAAGAAGCTAATAAGGAAAACTTAGCAGAGTTGCTATGAATGGCTTTTATCCTTCATTTTTCAAGGTGGAATAATTTTGCTGATCATAAGGGTAAAATAAAAATGGGAGAAAAATARCTGTATACTCARTAGGCCTCACAGATTGTGGGGTATAGAAAGGCCCCGTTGTCTCTTGATGTTACAGAGGTCAGCAGAGCGGCACAGGCGGCAGCCTCCGAGGATCTCTCAGGACCACGCCATCCTTCTTTGGAATCTCCCTGGCAGAGCCGCAACTCGGGGATCAAAGACACTGTGTCTGTGCAGGGAAATCTGCAGGTTTGCCCAAAAGTTGTTAGGATTTGAGCTTTGGTTTACTTTAACATATTTCTTTTTCTCCTTGGACCTGCTTTGTGCAGTGCTTGTTCTCTCTAAGMAGAGATCTACAAGAGCTGGCCTTCCTTGCAGCAAGTGCAAGCTGTCTGCCTTACTCCTCATATTCACAGTTCCCTTGGCAGACCTGTCTGTATTGTCCCTATCAGTCTCTAGGCATTTGCATATAAATGACTAGCTATTTACTTATCATCTTCAGTCTGACTTAGGGTTTAAGTAGAAAATACCAAATCAATRGTCTCACAGTATCAGTCAAGTCCTTAATGACTTTTGTAATTAATCTTCTTATTCAAATACCATTCCTGAAAGCTTTGGCCTTTATGAGTTCTCAATTATGGAAGAAAGACCAAATAAAAGTCGTAGTTGTATTGAACCAAATTAATGTCTGCTTTTTTCATAACACAACAAAGGCTAGAGGTCCTCAAGATAGTTCGGTCCTTCAAGTCATAAAAGGCGTGAGGCAGGAAGAAAGGGCATAAAGAGCAGCCACTTCCTAGGAACATGAAATAAAAGTTTTTGTCTACAAGTCTGAAGCTTATTGGAATCCTGCTGGTCTTATTTTGAAGTAAGGTATTTAATATTTTGTCAAAGAATGTAGAAGTTATCAAAGAATGGTGACTTAGGTGTTGATGTGTCTTGCTGTACTTTCTTGTTAGCCATTTAAGAAGCAGTATAAATAGACCTCAAATTGTAACAGACATTGAATAATTGGCTAAAGATCCATTAATATTTATTGCATTAAAGGCATAGGATGAGAGAACTCTGAAATGGACATGTTTTAAGAAAGTCAGTTCCCAAAGGAAGCTGTGTCTTCAGAAAGAGAGATATTTGAGAAATTGAAGCCTAAATTGGAAAAGAGACATACATATTTTTCAACTTTTTCAAAGCAATCAGTAGCAAGAGTAGTATTTATGAAGTTTTACCAGAAATGCAAACATTATCCTAAGACTAATTAGAAAGGAAAAGATGGAAAATCTGTTCTGCRCAACGACCAGCACCAGGCAAGTTGGATCTGTCTGGATTCCCAACTGCTCTTTAATTCTAAAGAATATCATTGAGAGGATGCTCAAGAGTACCAAAATGGCTCTGCAAGTAGTTTGCAAATAATTCTTAGATAGGACAAATATCCGTAGTTGTTTTCATAGCCTATGGATACCAGGTCTCCAATCAGAACTGTTCCTGCCCAAAGTTACTTACTGTATTGAGGAGAATGAGAGTTTTTTTCTCATTCCTGATGGAAGACTCGTTGTGGCTGCAAACAAATGTAAGTACCTTTACCTTAATGAATGTCCTGCAAAATGGAATCAATATTTTTCCCTAAATGCATCAACCACMGAAATTTCAGTAAATTGAGGCTGCTCTTTTGGCAGTGCTGAATCAAAATGTCAAATCGGCACAACTCAATTATGGGAGAGGAAATAAGGCAACATAGTGGATACCAGCAAGTTATTTATGAAATACTTCAAATTGCCAATGCTGTAACTACCTTTGGGAAATGAGAACAGACAAGAGCATAGATTCAGCTGCAGGAAAATAGATTCAGAGCAACTTGTTAGCAAAGTTTCAGAATTCAAATTTTCAGCCTGAGCTTTATAGTCCGGTTGAGCCTTTCAGCCTGTTACTGTTTTTGCTTAAAATATTTTTAAGTGCCAATAAATAATGGGAGGAAAAGAAAACATCACTATTCCTTTATGAAGTTAAAAAAAAAGTAAATGAGCTGCTTTGTTTTTTCAGCACACTGTTGTCTGACATTCACAGTGAATTGAATGTGTGTTGAAACATTCACAGTGAGTTTCACATTCATTCTTAAAACAAATGAGTCCCTCAAAAATCTTTTCGGCACTGGAGGCAATATTGCAACCGAAGCGCTTTTCTTTCCTCTTTTAGGCTGAGATAAATACCTTGTGATGCTGAGAGACAGGTTGTRGTGACTTCAGTGTCACATGAGGCTGGCTCTGGGTGCTTCATATTGAGTGCAAGCCAGATTTCTCCCATGAAAGAAGTAGCTGTATTTATGAGGAATGAAACAGATTCATAATCTCTCTGTAATTAATGGGATACATTAAGGAACTCCAAGAGAAACATTTAGTATTCATGTAAAACATTGTTTAAAAGTAGTCATAATTCTTCCAACCACAGTAGGGAAACAAATGATGAAAGTTATTGACTTTAATGAGTACGTATACAGGTCACCTCTGAGTAATATGATTCTTCTAAAGAGCAGGTTATTAGGACTTACAATTTGTGAATATTTATTTCCTCCATTGCAATGGGAAGGCAGGAGAGGGGAAAGCAAAGGTTATGGGGCCAGATTAAATCTTTTGAAGAGCGGGGTTAGGCGGTACATGTAACATGTCCTGCAGACCTGTCCAAGGATGGTCATGTTGATGACAACGGTGCAAGTTTGGATAGACAGGAAAAATGCCAGAATTCACTCTGGGTGATTTTGTAGCTGAAAAGCTTTGTGAGGAATGAGCTGGACTCTAATGTATTAAGGGACTTCACTTCCCACTGACTAGGTCAATTGAGATTTGAAAGAGCTCAGTTCTTTCCTGGTCGAGCTCGGAAGCAGCCTGCAAGAAGAACGCGCTGCCTCCCGCACAGGACTGCCTGCGCTCCAGCTACACACAGGCTAAGGTGTCTGCGTGCAGGTAAAATACATCCGTGTCATGAGCTGACACATTTAGGGACATTCATTTCAAGAAAGAAACGAAAATGGTACACAAGAATTGTGTCTTTAGTCCCATTTC